TGTAGTGCGTGAAGTCAGTGTGAGAAGGCAGAAACAACAGAAGGCAGAGAAGAAGAAACAAAGCTGAGCCGGGCATGGTGGTGCATACCTGTTATCCCAGCACTCAAGAGGTTGAGGCAGGAGGATTGTTGAGAGTTCAAGACCAGCTTGGGCTACAAAGTGAGCGCAAGGCCAGCCTGAACCGCGTAGCGAGACCCTGTCTCAAAAGATAAAAAGAAGAAACAAAGCTGAATATATATAGAGAAATATATACTTAGAGAAATATATATATATTTATATTTATATATCAATATATACAGAATCCACCAAAATAATGTATGCATACTTTAACAGTTCACCATACTAATAAGTGTCTGAATATGAGTAGTGGGTACAAGCGATTCTTAATTTAATTAAACATCTTTCAGAATTAGTTCTCTAAATCAACAGTAAAATACACTATAGTGCTCTCTTCCAATTCCTTTGTTTTTCATATTTACTTTTATTTTTTTCTTACCTATCTCCTGTTGTTTCTGTTACTTAGGTCCCAGAGAAAAGTGATTTCTAAATCTTGCACTTAATATTCTAAAATATTTAATCTGGTTACAACAGATACTAAACAATTTTTAAAGAGGCTCAATGCCTCTGTTTGCTCAGAATCTTTGCCGGTCAGGACTTGGGATGGGTGCGGCTTCCTTCCCTAGACTTGCCGGGAGCAAACAACCTCCTCAGATTAATTCTAGATACTCTGTCCTTCATGTCAGAACTTTGATAATTTTTGAACAGACAAGTCTAGAGCCATGTACCCTTGGTCTAGACTTTCAGCTGCAGATCCTTCTTCCCATTAATGGAGGCAAATTTCAGTGATTTATAAAATTTTACCTCCGAGGGATATTTTACATTATGTTGATTACAGGAGAGATCCCTATTCTCCATCTTTCCAGTGTCTCTTTCCACTTTGTCCATCAGCTTTCATATTACTGTACCCATCAGGGAATTTGTGCACTCTCTCTTAGGGAGAACTTTCCCTGCAGATCTGACATAAATGCTCAACACTAAATTTGCCTTGACTGATAGCCCTCCTCTTGATCACTGGTAAGGACAGAGGAAAATGAGAAAAATGATAGGATAAGAGGTTCTTATTATTTGTCATAATTGTTCTGACTGTGTAATAATAGGTTAGTATTACCTAGAGAAATATATATATGTATCTATACATATATTTATATATCAATATATACAGAGTCCACCAAAATAATCTATGCATACTTCAACAGTTCACCATACTAATAAGTATGGAAGCTGATGAGCACCACTTTCAGCAACTCTTGTAACTGTAGAGGCCAAAACTAACTTGTATTGATCTCTTGATGTCTCGATAAATTTAGTACTGTTATGATTTGTGTCTACATGTCCCCCTCAAAGCCTCATGCGGTCATAGGTGGGGCTTTTGCAGAAGTGGCTAAATCTAGTGCATGTGATGCTAGGATTAAGGATGTGAGATTACTAAATTAGTCCACTGATTGGTTTGGCATAGTTCAGGGTAGGATTAAGGGTGCCCCATACTGGGTGTGAGCGCCACCCACCTCAAGGGTAGATAACATTGATAAGACATAAGGGACAGGAAGGGATCACTTCCTGTTGCTTGAAGTTTGCTACCTTGCTACCTTCTGCCTTCTGTCTGCCATGAAATGTTTTTCCTCTGCGATACCCCTCTGCCACGCAACCCTCCCTCGGAACCAGCTGACTATGAACTGAAACATCTACAAATACAAACTGTGGGCTGCAATCAACATTTCCTTCTCTAACTTTGGGTGTTGAGAATTTTGTCTCAACCACGAGAATAGTAACTGAGACAAGTATTAAAATATTTATACAACTTTTTTTCCTGATGTATATGTTTTTGAGGGCTTTCCGCAGACACACTCAGAAGTTGTTCATTAATCTGCGTGGTCTTGCTCTGAATCCAGTCAAGTTGACAATAAACATTAACTGTTACCGTTTTACTGACACTGATAGCACCAGGACCACTGCACACAGATCAGCTCTCATGCTCTGTGTTGTACATAGGGTTCGCTACCATTGCAGTCACCACTTGAGAGGTCCCCTAGTTGTCTTGTTAAATTGCTTTCTTACTGTCCTTCTGCACCTCAGAGACATCTCCCAGCTGATAAGATATTGAATTTATTTAGAGAACATTGGTTCTCAGGTATCCCGTAATGAGCAGGGTTGCATGTTTATTTTAATTTAGGTCCTTCCAAGGCCCCATCCCTTAGCTAGGGGAGTAACCAGAGTCGTAATTTTATTTTTTTCAAGATGATCGGATCTGGCAACATTTCTTGGATATGTTATGGTAGTTTAGAAGCCAGAGAACAAAGTAGGGCATGCCCCAAATGAAAACTTCACTATCTGTTCAATTCACTGGTCATTATAGTTACCTATGACTTTGGACAATGTCCTACATGTGAGTGATACATTTCTGGAAACTTTGCATTCTCTGTGCATGTAAAGTAAATTCTTTGGTTCTTCAATGGTCATAATGATCTTATAAAGCCATCCAGATGTTTTGTGACCATTAGTATCTCAAGAATTGTGATTTTTTTACTTTTAAAAATTGAAAAGTTGTCAAACAGAAAGGTCATACATACAATCCAATGCTTTCCCTGAATCATTTGGTAGCTGAAGAACTCGCAGGTTCATTGTCTTAAGCCTTTGCTATATATTTCCTACAACAAAAAATTATTTTACATGATTCAGTTCTACCATAAATTCAGGAAGGCAGCATTGTTACACTGGTCCAACTTCTCACAAAGTTCAAGTGGTGACTACTGTGTGGTTTGTCACACAAGAGTGCAGTCCAGGAGCACATGCTGCCAGGTCTCCCCTACCCTGGAACACATCTGCAGTCTGGACCTGAATTTCACATTTCATGGTCACACACCGTGTTTTTAGCAGAATGCCCCTCAATTTGAGTTTGTTTGTTAATCCTCACAATTAGAGTGAACAATGCATTTTTGGCTGGAATGCCTATATGTCCTGCTCAGTTTTCTCACTGTGTCATCCTTAGCAGCCTATGCTCAGCGCCAGCCCCATTACTGGCAATGTTAACTTTAATAAAGGTGATGGCCATTAGACATCTCTAAGGCACAATGACTATTTTTCCTTTGAGGTTAATAAAAATCTACTGCCAAGTTGTTTGATAATTTATTGACATGCAATCGTGCATTAAAATAGAACTGTAAAACTAAGGGTTCATTTTCCTTCAGTGGATTATGAGGTTAACATTATCATTTATTTGATACTCAAAATCCCTCCACTTTGGCCAATAAGAATCCTATACCAGCTAGTTTGCCTTCACTTTGGCCATAACCTAATCACTCTTTGAGGACATATTAGTTCATGGTACAAGCTAGGCCACCCTCACCTTGCAACTTCCCTGTCCTTGACAGGGAATCAGCCTTTTGTCCAAGCATCACTGGTCTCTTTTAGTGAAGAATGATATTTAGGTACAAGACGTGGGTTCTATATGTACTTACTGAAACTAGACCATAAGTACATCTAGTCTAGGGATAATTATTCATCATTTATTTATCCATTTATCAATATATATTTATACACATGTATTAATATACATTGTTTTTTCCACTTCTGCAGCATACCAACTTATTCTGAAACAGATGTACTCACAAATTTCCTTTCCAACAGTGAGAATATTGGCTTGACTTATCCTTCCTTTGTATATGACCAACAGCCCTCCTGGATGAGGTAAATCTTGGTTGTCACTGCCACCTATACTCGCATAGCAAGTAACTCCTCCCACACATACCTACATGTACTTTTACACCCTGATAATCCTAACCAAGTCATGGGCAACTTTACCTTCTGTGGAAAAGGAACTTCCTCACCCTTCCTGGGCCCTGACAACTACAGTGGGGAATCCCACAAATGTCACTAATTCTCATTTCACTAATTCTCACACCCCAGTGTTGGCCAACAGTGTCACTTCTCCTATGTGTGCAGAACCAGCTCTGTCCACTCTAGCTTCTTTCTCCCACGTTTGCTTTCTGTTTACACCCCCATAAACACCATGTCCAGACTGCGCAGGCTCCAACAACCTAGAAGCAATTCCTCTCTTCCCTTCTGTTTTTAACCCTCTGCTCAGACTCCCAGAACCCAACCCTAAAAACGATTGGATTGTGAAGGAATATGCATGTTTAGGAAGCACGGTAGAGTTGTTTCAAGGATGCATAAGCAGAGGTTTCAAAGAGGATCTTAGCTTCTGGAGGGAACACCTTGGATTACAACATTTGAAATCCACAACCAACACATTGAGGTGCTCAGGGAGCTTCTAATGTGAGAATATATAACTAGATACAGAGCTGGAATGGCGGCACAGACTTCAGATGCAAGGTGGTAAAATCCCTGATGAGGCTGGCTTTGGTAGATGTGGTCAGACAGACAAATCAGAGATGAAAAAGAGACTAAGTGCACGGAGAAGACAAGATAGGGTAACCAAGTGCTCAGTGTTTGGGTTTGACTTGCTGGATTTGTTATGTTTTCCAACAAATCATGACTCTTATAATTCCTTCCTCTTCTACCCAATTGCATTTCTGGGCAGTAGAGCTAATAACTAACATCATGAGGGAATTAAAAGAATGCCAAAGCATTTCCTGCCTAAATGAGAATCACAGGAACGAAATGTAGAAAGCATGAAAAATATCTGTGCATTTATTGGGTGTTTTCTGACAGACTCTGTCACAGATAAAGGGCCAACAAGAGAAGATAGGATGAGCTTGAGGGCAGCAATGTAACAGTGGAGAGCAAACTGAGCTGCCCAGTGGTCTCTAGAGAAAACACATTGTGTGAAAGTGACTCTGTAACGTTCTGATCACACGGGGATATCTCCAGATCCTGGGCCTGTGCTAAGTTACTGCAATGATCCAGCCCCGCAGCTGTGCCTGTCATACCCAGCCTCTGCTGATTTGCATGTCCCCAGGGCACAGCCCAGGCCCTGAGGACTTCTTCATAGGCTGTCACACCCTGTGCAGGACCCAGTCCCAGTCAGGACACAGCATGGACATGAGGGTCCCCACTCAGCTCCTGGGGCTCCTGCTGCTCTGGCTGCCAGGTAAAGAAGGGAAGCACTGTAGATTTGCTCAGCCTGATGAGGATGGCGCTGCCTGGCCGATGAGGGAAGTCCTCTGCCAAAAAATTAATCTGTGGATGATTTTTTTGTTTGTGTGTTTCCAATTTCAGGTGCCAAGTGTGACATCCAGTTGACCCAGTCTCCATCCATTCTATATGCATCTCCAGGGGATAGAATCACCTTCACTTGTCGTGCCAGTCAAGACATCAGCAGCTATTTAGGCTGGTATCAGCAGAAACCAGGGAAAGCTCCTAGGCTCCTAATCTATGACTCTTCCAACCTATACACTGGAGTCCCGGCAAGGTTCAGCGGCAGTGGATCTGGGACAGACTTTACTCTCACTATAAGCAATGTGGAGCCTGAGGATTTTGCAGCTTATTACTGTCAACAGCGTAAGAGTTACCCTCCCACAGTGATACAAGCCATGACATAAACCAGCCAGGGAAGCAGAAGTGTGAAGCTGAGCTGCCCCAGCTGCTCTTCCAGGCATCTCTGTCTGCTGAGAGCATTTCTGAGATGCAGGAAGCGCCCCCTGAGGCATCTATGTTGTAACATCTGTCGTGACTCATACAGAAGAGATAACACTATGGGTATTCCAAGCAGGGATTGTTTTAAATGTGGATAGCAGATTTTAAATTATAATCTTTACTAATTTATTTAAATCTGCTTTATTAACACATATTATTTGTCAATAGAAGTGGGGTTTGCTGTGATAGTTCCATGTACACAGAGTATATATTAATCATATACATCCACTTCTGCCCTTGACTTTCTTCACCCTTACCTTAGTAATCACTCTTCTATTTTCTCATCTACTACTTTTAGACTTCTATAGATGAAAGGGCACAAATGATACTTGTTATTTTTGTATGTGGTTTATTTTGCTTAATAAGATGACCTCCCATTTCATTTATTTTGCTACAAATGGTAGTTTCTTTATGGCTGAGTATACACTTGTGTATATATGTCTTGGTTACTTTTCTCTCGTTGCTGAGACAAAATACCCAACTCCCAAAATGAAGGAAGGAAAGGTTTATTTAGCTTACAGTTTGTGGAGGTTTCAGTCCATACTTGGCTGGCTCTGAGGCAGAAGATAGCAAAGCAAAAAGAGCAAAGGGGGGAATGGCAGCCGAACAGCAAACAGCCAGAGCAAAAAGGAGGAAGGGCGGCAAGCAGCTTCTTTCCCTCCCTTACATTGTAAACAGGCTACCCCCACCTAAAGGGCGTGTAGTTCTCACATAATTTCCATGTCCTCCTTTTCCACAGGCTCAGGATGTATAGAAAGTAAGCACCCTGGCTTCCTGCTGAGTCACTTAGCCAAACCTCTAGACTCCCCAAGTTGACACAATGTATCAACCATAACAATATATTTCATAGTTTTTCATTCATCTGTTGTCAGTGGCCACCTTTAGGGATCCCATATACTAGTAGTTTCACGTATTGCCACAATAAATACAGCTATTCACTTATTTCTTCTGTACACTGACTTCATTTCCTTTGCGTATGTGGCTAGGAGGTGGATAACTACATCAGGTGATAGTTTTATTAATTTTTTGCAAGAATTTCCATAGTGCTTTCCATGGTAGGTATACTAATTTACATTCCCACAAACAATGTACAAGAGTTCCTTTTCCTTCAGATCTTTGTCAGCATTTGTTACTTTTTTTAACGTTAGTCATTCTAACTGTGGTGAGATAAGTCTAACAAATGGTGCTAAAAAACTGGGTATCCACATGCTGGAAACAAAACTCGACCCCTTCTCTTACCTTGTACAAAAATCAGTTCAAAATGGATCACACACTTTAAGCTAAGGACTGACTCTGAAACTACCAGAGGAAAGCAAAATAAAGCTTCTCAATATTGATATAAGTAATATTTTTTTCAAAACAAAACTCTAATAGCTGAGGAAACAAAGGCAAAACTTAAATAAGCTTACATTAAACTGAAAAGTGTCTTCACAGCAAAGGAAGAATCAACAGAGTGAAAAGTGAAGCTAAGAATGGTATAAAATTTTGCTATTTATTCAACTGACAGAGGTTTAATATCCAGACTCTATAAACAAGTCAAACACTGGACAAGAGAAAATCAGGTAATCCAATTAAATATTAGGTCATGTGTGAAGATAGTTTCCAAGGAAAAAAGTACAAGTGTCCATAGATATATAGAAAAAGACTCTACAATTAATCATCAAGAAAATGGAAATAAGGCACAGACCTTAATTTGAAAGACCTAGTGGTATGGTAATAAAAAATGTAGATACCAGAAACAGGATTCTCAGCTTCTACCCTAAAAGCCAAAGAAGGGCCAGAAGCTATAAACTGCAGAACAGTGCGGTCTATCAAAGGGCCCAGGATTGGAGTTCTGGGACTCTCAGCTACCAAGAACCCCTCTCAGGTGACTGTCAGTCCTCATCTCTGTCCTCCATTTATCTCTATTTGTCATTGCCATCTTTAACCACCTGTAAAATAAAAGGAAGAAAAGGGTTTTTAAAACTTCGGGAATTACCAATGAAAATTCGGGATACTTGTACTGGAGATGTTGGGACATGCATTTGCTTATATAACTGACCCCAGGATGTTGTTCACCATGGGTAGTCACTGCTCCTTCAGCGTTAGCTTCAGATTCAAAAAACATCCATAGCTTGAAGACAAGAAGAACCGTCCAGCAGAGCTCTTTCCAAATTAGTTGAATCATGGTTTATGCAAACATCCACAAACATGAGTATAATGGCTTAATGTTTGAACCACCAGGTTCTTGGGTTGTTTGCTGCACAATATTATTTTGATAAGCTGACTAATGTAATAGTGAACCTTCATGCATATAGGTACATTTTATGAAGGCTGCATGAATACAAATACTTAGAAAGCTAACTAGAAAAATTAAATATAAAGGAAATTAAAAACTAAAATGTTTTTAGATGCATAGAATAAAATACAGTTCTCTTACAGAAATATTTAATGAAATAAATGCTAAGATTATTGTTATATGGCAATACTTAACAGAGTAATTAGAATGAATCTTTGCACATGTAAAAAATCTTACTGGAAATAATTAAGTTTACCTTTTATAAATACAGATACATATGTATATACGTATTTAAATGTGTAATATATTTATATTTTTATTTCTATACTCAGTACACACACACACACACACACACACATATATATATATATTTGTTCAAGCATAAACAAACCATAAGCTTTATGAAGTTGGAAGTGTTTTTTCCATCATTTTTACAACATAGACTTTAGGCTATATTTGTGAACTATTAGGAGGTGATTTGTTACTTGTAAAGAAAAGGTTTGCAGTTACGTTAGATGGCAACACTTTGATGTTGCGCTTTGAAGAATGGGGATTCAAATACCAGAAATTGTTCCTTGTTGATGGAAATCCACAAAGGCAGACAGGCTAGAAATCACTTCTGCTCCCATGAAACAGGTGGATCCTCAAGAGACGGAAATGGTGATGTAACCCACGCAGAGGAGGCTGCAGACCAACAGGTCGGGTCTGTGTTAGTTGCTAGTGGGCTACAGGCCTTCTGGGGTCATAGACAGGAACAACTCTTTTCTCTGCAGGAACCACTCTGAATGCAGAGCCTCAGGCCCCAGGGGCTCCTCACACAGGTTGTATGGGCACAGCCATTCTTGGGTGGTTTGTAGACACTTCACTGGAGCCTGCTTCTTCAAGCTCCTTAATATTTTGTGCAGAAGTCAGTATCTCACAGGGCCCACCTTTCTGCTTAATAGACTTCCCATCTGTAACAAAGAATAACAACTGTCAACACTGAAGGCGGGCATCATCACCGTCTGCTTTGTGCTGCTAAATATCCCCAGCCTTAAAGAAGTTTTAAATTAAAAAGTGAAATAATTCTGCTTTTGCTTTAAAAAATAAATTATATTTAAGAAGGTTGCCTAACAAAATGATAGGAATTAACATTGGTTGTTATATTACATACTGTTATCTTCAATGAAGTTGCTCAGATTCCCAGATGTCCTGTATCATTTTTATTGTTTTTGCTTTGCTTTGTTTTGGATTTGTCTATGTTGCTGGTATTTGGCTATTGTTCTTTTTGTTTTCATTCTCTTTAAAATAAAAAAAAGAAGGTTGCCTATTCCAGTACAATATATTGCATGATCAGTTAAAACTACAATGCCACTTTTTAGTACAATGGTTTAGGGGAAAATCATAAAAAAATACAGAAAGCAGGATCTTTCAAATGTAAAGGAATTATAATCAATAAATACTTATCTTAAAAATTGATACCACACATGGTCAGAAGAACATTAGCAAAAGAGAAAGGCATTACTCTCCACAGAAAAATAAAAATAAAAAAATAAAAGAACACAAATTGCAAAATTGAAGAAGAAAACCATTAAGATGCTCTAAAAACTGCTCAAATTTTCACAGTTTAAAAAAAAAAAGAAAAAGAAGAAAACCCATCTGGGCTTCTGGGTTCTCCCAAACACTGTGCAAGTGTTTCTGGGATGGTCAGGATGAGACTCGGTCAGAGATCCAGTCCAGAAGCCCTGAGCTTCCTACCTGCCATACCTCGTGCCCTGCTGGGTTGTTCAGGGCCCTGAGCTCTTTGCCGTACTATATCCTGGGTCTCTCAGGTGGATCATATGACACTCTTGAGACTGCTCTCTTTTTGGAATTCCTGGTTCACTGATTGTCTTTTGTCCTTATCTATTTGGAAAATTGATTGAGCAGAGGAATCCTTTTAGAGTTTTCTACATGTTTGACCTAGTGGTGAGTGAACTAGGGCAAGATTCACCCTGGGAGAAACACAGTCTCTGCCACGAATCTGGTCTAGCCTGGTCTTGCCTAGGACCTGGTCCTGTGGTTTTTCTTGAGTTACTGACACAAAGAAGCCTGGCAGCTGTGCCAGTCATACCCAGTCCCTGCTAATTTGCATGTCCCCAGAGCACAACCCATGCCCTGAGGACTTCTTAACAGGCTGGTCTCACCCAGAGTCAATTCCAGTCACTACACAGCATGGACATGAGGGCCCCCACTCAGCTCCTGGGGTCCCTCCTACTCTGGCTCCCAGGTAAGGAAGGAAGGAATGGGAATTTACTCAGCCAACTGCAGTTTTTGCTGACCAGTGCTGCCGGGCTCTTCATAGCCATTTTCTATAACATGATTCATTGTGTGAATCTCTGCCTCTTATGTTTCCCAATGTCAGGTGCCAGATGTGATACCCAGATGACCCAGTCTCCATCCTCCCTGTCTGCATCTTTAGGGGAACACAGTCACCATCAGAGGCCAGGCCAGTCAAGGCATTAGCTTAGAGCCCTGAGCCCCTGGGAGAGGCATTCAGACACAAATTGAAATCCAGTGGTAAAGATGGCAAAACACAAACACAGAATGAACCCGGGCCACATGTAAATGCTCCAACCTTCAGAATTCTTGTCAATGCTTAAATTACTAGTATTTATTTCACTGGCTTCTAAAGTTATTCCAACTTATCCAAGTACCCGAGAGACATAACATCTGGAGATTATATGCACCCCCTGAACAGCTGAGTTGTGTTTTCAAGTTTCCCTCCATTCTCCGTGGTCTCAGATGGGAAGAGTCTGCCCAACTCTTCTAGGCTCCGATCTGACGTGGCATTTGGAGGGGTCACAAAGGCAGAACTGGAGTCTGGGGAGGGCAGCAGCATGGTGGATATGAAGGCACAGCAAGAAAGTGAGCAAGGGTGAGTCCTGACAAAGACTGTGCGTGTGGGAAGAAAGAACTTGATTCTTGGGTCCATAACCATACCATGGGAGGGCTGGGGATTTAGCTCAGTGGCAAAAGCGCCTACCTGGCAAGCGCAAGGTTGTGAGTTCAGTTCCCGGTACCAGAGAAAAACCAAAAAAAAAAAAACAAACATAACCATACCATGGGTATCTTGACACTAAGGACTTTTATTAAGGAAGAAACAAAGAAAAGGTGATTTTTGAGGCTGTTATGGCCAACATCCAGGTGAAAGATGATGGCGGTTTCTGAGGTGAGGGAGTGGCTGCGGGGATAACAGGAGTGTCGGATTTGAGATATGCTTCAGGTCTAGCATTGCTGATTCCTCTTCAGTTTGTTAGGAGATGACATGCTGAACATGCAGCATTTGTAACTATTGTTGACTTCTTCTTTTTAAAAATTGAAAATTTAACTTTTCCTTGCTGGAGCTCAAGAAAGTCCTTCTCGTTTCCTCTTAGGTTTCTTTGAGTAGCTCAGATTTTCACATTTTGTGAGTGTCCTTTACTTGTGAAATGATGACAGATGTGTCCACTAATGACACCCTCCGTCTCCCCCAAATGCCTCACTCCAGTGCATTCTCTTTTGTCTTCATGCGGTTTTGCTTCTCCTCCACTGTGTTAGCAGGAAAATCCCATATCACATTTTCCCTCCTATTTTTACCTATTAAAAGTGTCAACACAGTTGATGACCCTGATTATATTGAGAACAGTAATGAATGTACAAAATGGTAGTGAAAGATCAAAATCTGTGCATTCAGAAATTTGCATGTAGAGTCCTGCTTCTCTCAGCATTGTTGCCAGGACCTCTCACAGAACTGTTCCACCAGCAGCTATGAAGATTCTGTTTGTCTTTTCACACCACTCACTGCCTGCTGAGGGCCAAGTTTTCTGAAGAGAATCCTGCCTTATATTTTAGATGAATTTGGGCTTTTCCTAGCCCTTCTCTGTCTTGGTATCTTCAACTTGAAGAAAAGGATAAAACATACTTCTCACATGAAAACTTAGCTCAATGCATGACACACTAAAAGTGGGCAACAAATATTGCTCCCATTGTTTGTTAATTTTGTTAAGTTTACATTTCAAAACATGTATGGTAGATTAGATTATTTTTCTATATATTCCATCAGGAAGTTCAATATATCTCCCTGTGTCATGAAACCACACTGGACATGAGTTTAAACCAACTTCCTCTGAACTCCAGGCCTCAAGAGGTCTTGTATTTTGTTTTGTCTTTTTGAGACAGGGTTTTACTATACTCAGCCTGTTCTTGAGCCCACTTTGTAACCAAGGCTGGCCAGAATTCACAATGGTCCTCTCGCCTCAGCCTCCTGAGTACTGGGATTACAGGTGTGCACCACCACACCCAGCCTCAAGAGATTCTGTAGCCTCAACTCCCATGCCCAGGGATGTGAGAGGGCTGGTCTTGTCTACTAGAGAACAAGAGGCCCCTTGGAAAAGAGAGCTGTGCCCAGGTATCACAAATTTCTACGTATGTGAACAAGCCATGGCCTGGGGATACAACAGAGGGTATGAAATACTTGATTTTGGTATTATTCAGAATCAACAGTACATGAAAATTTATTTTTCATGGTGATCATTGATTCAACTTTCTATAGATTTCACTCCACTGTACACATGAGGCGGGGAGCCCCCACTTCCTCTCTCCTTGACAGGGAATGAGGATGCTGTAAGCTCTCCACAGGTCAGCAGCACCAAATGTACACAAGTTTGTGAGATTTGACCTCCCCATTCAGCTCACCCAGCTCCCTGCAGCTGCATGAGGCAGCTTGGAGAAAGTAGTAGAGAAACCACCCAGCAAATTCATATAATCATAAGAAATAATAGCTTATTTCAATCTTTTCATTTTCAGGATATTTTATTGTACTATGACAAATTACAAAAATGTGTATACATAAATCCATTTGCAGAATCAGTTAAGGTCCCAAATTCTTATCATCTTCCACCGTTTTCTTGGTGTAGACCTGGTTTACATGTGAGGTAATAATTCTCCCACCTGTCCCTGCTTCATCAGGTGGGAAAACAGTCTCTGAGACTATGGACAGTTACTATACTGACTTTCCAAGCCACTGATATGGAGGTTCCAGTGGGAAATGGGTTTCTTTGCACTAGGACAATTTCTACAGCCCAGAAAGGTTATTTTTGTGTGGAGACCTTCAGTGTGAGATGCTGGTTCAAATGCTGCTGACAGTAAAGGTTGAATGTCTTTATCTTCTACTTTGTGGATGACGAGAGAGAACACAAAGTCAGAGCCACTTCCTCAGAACCTAAAAGAGGTTCCAGTGGTCTGGAGAAAGGAATCAGGGTGAAGCCTCCTGGTATTTCCTCTGTTACCAGAACATGGAGATACTACCCTGTATACCCCTTCTACATGCTATGGAAACAAAGTTACCTAGCAATGCTTTCAGTGTTCCTGGAAGCTGAATGTAGATGTTCTGCCCCTGTTCTGCAAAGACTTCTCAGTGTATCAACAAAAAAGTGAAGAGCGCTGGTCTCAAAGAATTCATCAATACCCTCTATGAATAAGTATTTGTTCATTACTATAAATTTGATCCACAAGCAACAATGATTCCTTGAGGCAGCATGTTTAGGAGCTTCAGAAAAAAAATGAGAGAGAAAGGAAAGTGAGACAAGGCTGAAAAGAGAGAAGGTGGATTGTAAAGGGCATTTCACCAAGGTGGATCCTCTTGCGGATACCTGGAGCTGACACCCACAGGGAAGTATGGAGACCACACATCCACTCTCTAACCTGAGAAGCAACTGGGCTAAGGTATGTGTGCTGCTGTTCCAATCATAATTCTTGGGGCTGTGCCCAGGAATGTTTATTCTAGACCCTATGCTTTTCTATGTGTTTAGGCAGAGGTGCTCCTCCAGTTTAAAGGACCACAGTGACGTACAGATGTGGCTGGTGGAAATACATAGCAGTACAGAGAAGGAAAAGACTGAATGCACCAGAAGTGATCTCTCCATGTGCCCAGAAAACAGAGGTGTGCTTTCCACCTGCAGCTGCATCTCTCTGAATTTAGATCCCGGCCTCCCTGGAGGCTCAGGTCCTAGTACAGGAAGTTTGTGCACAAACTGCACCTCTGTGGCTTAGTCAGTCCCAGTTGTGCATCAGTAAGAATCCTGGAGTCTGGAGACGGAGCTGATTCCATATCTAACACCGCTGAACCTGCCTGTGCTGCTCATGACACCATAGTGTCATGACCTATAAAGGGTTCAAATCTTTGGCCAAGTTTTATCAGCTCCCAGTGTATTAGAACTCACTTGATCAGAAATGGAAGCTGTCTCTGGTGGTGTAGACGGGGAGGCTGGACTTTGGTCAGGATGAGGTCCCCAAACAGTGCTAAAGAGTAAGTGAGGAGTGAAGCACTGACGGCGCATGGCAGCAGCCACCCTGAACTGGGACAGAGATTTGCTGAATGTCATCTCCCCAGGGAAACCCCCTCACCTGTCCTCCAGAAAGCCGATCTGCAGAGGCACAGCAGCTGAGCTTGGAGCATGCTGCCAGCGAGCACAGCTCAGGGAAATTCCCCAGGCCACACGATCTTGGTCTTCCAAGTTCATGCAGAAAATTGATTCTAGGGAGTCTGAAATATCCAGGGGTCACATTAGTCTATGTCTGGCTGGTATAGTTGGAGAAAAAAAAAACCAACAATTTGTTGAAGTTATCAGTTCTGACGCTACTAGTCAGCCCTTCATGGTGGTGAATTGTGAGAAATATTACCAATGTCAGAAAAGAGGGGTCAAAACCAAAAATAAAGTGCAGTCAGTTTAGTTCCTAGAGGTGAGAGAGACCGGTATCTTCTTACCTGGTGGACCTGTGAGCAACACATTCACTGAGGAAACATGGCATTTCCCCGGCGCATTTGCAATAAATTGCATGACACAATGCAAAGAATAGCAGTGGGTCAGGGCCATCGAAAACGGTTTTAGAATATATTGACCATGTTACCTCTACACATCTCTTTTATGTAGGTAACATGCAAACATCTCACACTGAAGACAATTTAGACAGTACGGCATAAGTATTTTCTTTTCCTTCACTGAAGCAACGTGAAAGTAAGTTGGGGGCCTACCAACCCCGCTTTCTAAGAATGTTCTATGTATACTCTATAAAAAGGATATTCTCCTTCATAATCCCAATCTAACTATGAAATAAATTACTCCACATAGTCCTTCAGTCTATTTCAAAATTTTACAATTCTTCCTTATATGCCTTTTGCAGCCAGATGGCTGCCAGAAAGAAGCATCTTCTCACAGAAATCTGTGCTGCCACATTTTGAACCAGGACACCTGAGGACGCCAGTCCTGTGCTGAGTTACTGAGAGGAGACTGCCCTGCAGCTGCGCCTCGCCTGCACAGCCACGGCTGATTTGCGTGTCCCCAGAGCACAGCCCACCGCCTTCAAAACTTCTTCATAGGCTGTCACACCCTGTGCAGGACTCAGTCCCAGTCAGGACACAGCATGGACATGAGGGTCCCCGCTCAGCTCCTGGGGCTCCTGCTGCTCTGGCTCCTGGGTAAGAAAGGGAATTACTTAGCCCAGTGCAGTCAGCACTGGCTTTTGCTGGAAGTCTTCTCATAACATCACTAATTAGTTGGCATTTTTTTTTTTTTTTTTTTTTGTCTATCCAATGTCAGGTGTGCGATGTGACATCCAGGTGACCCAGTCTCCATCCTCCCTGTCTGCCTCTTTAGGAGACACAGTCACCATCACCTGCAGGACCAGTCAGAGCATTAGTCCTCGGTTAGACTGGTATCAGCAGAGAAAAGGTGAAAGCGCCAAACCCCTGATCTATAAGACAAACAGTTTACAACCTGGGGTCCCATCCAGGTTCAGCGGCAGCGGACCTGGGGCAGATTTCACTCTCACCATCAGCAACCTGAAACTTGAAGACATTGCAACTTACTACTGTATGCAATGTAATAGTTTCCCTCCCACAGTGATAGAAGCCATAACATAAACCTCCCAGAGAAGCAGAAGTGTGAGGCCGGGCTGCCCACCTGCTCCTCCTGGTACCTCTGGGTACTGACAGCATTTCTCAGATGCAAGTAGCCTACACATGAGAAGTCTTGTTTGGTGCAACTTTTGGGACTCATATAACAAAAGAGAAGTCACAGAAGATGTTCCAAGTAGGAGTTGTTTTAAATACAGTGAAGAAAGTCTAAACTACAGATTTATTTTTAATATTTTATAAACACATACTAATTTTAGAAATTTATGAGATTCCCTGTGATATTTCTGTACATGCATAAGGTGTGCTTTGGTCATATGAATCCACCCCCACCCCATCTACCTCCATTCTTCCAGCCCCAGTCTCCTAAAGCACCTTTCTGAGTAACTGGTAATCGCTGTTCTAATTTAGAAGCAACTTTTTTTACTTAGTGTCCATATATGAGGAAGAACATTCAATATTTGTTCTTAGTATCTGGTTTATTTCTCTTACCATGTCTTCCAGATCCATCCACTTTGCTGCAAATGATAGAATTTCATTCTTCTTTATGGCTGAATAATAAATCTATTCTGTATTTTCTCTGTGCATTCACCTGTTGATAAAGACCCAAGCTGATTCCACTGGTTACTGTTGAGAATAGTGCCGCAATGTAGAAATATGTATGATATATTTTGTTCAATTCAATTCAAGGTATCTTTGTTCAATTCAAAAACTTAATAACAAAAATAAGAAGTAACTCAGGTGAAAATGGGTCAATAACTTGAACAGACACTTCTCAAAGGAAGAAATACAAATGCTCAATAGATATATGACAAAATATTCAACAACATGGGTCCTTAGGAAATTGCAAATATGTGTGGGAAAATAATACACTGTTTAAACAGTGTTGGTCTCTCATATCCCTGGACCTAGTATATTGGGGAAAATTAGTCTGCACTGATCTGTTGGATTTTATTTCTTTTTTCATGCTATGAAATTACCAGGATGCCAAAGAAATATAGGGTAGCCTTTCCAGACACTGTTCTATTGGAAGATTTGTGGGAACCTAGACGAAGGGAGTATATTAAGGAAACAGACTCAGGAACACTGCATCAGGTGTGCTTACACTGTGTCAAGTAGCCATCACGGCACATTCACTCTCTATAAAGCTAAGAACTGTTTTGGTGATTGGGGCCTTAGGTTACATTTTGTGAGCTAAGGATCCCCTTGTGATTCAGCAGGTTACCATCTCCAGCAGGAGATGTAGATACTGTGCTGAGGGGACCTGTTTCCCCCGTCGTTTGTGTTGAAGTAAGTTGCTGTTGTAAAGGAAAGGCGTGTCATATGATAGGTGACACCACACTGCCGTTGATGTTTTAAAAAGTGGAAGTTCAAGTATGGGAAAATGTGTTGGTGATGGAAAGTCACGAAAGTAAATGGGGGTAGAAATAGCCCCAGAAGCTATGGGACAGGTGAATCCTCAGGAGACGGAAAGGGGCCCAAGCGCTCAGCCTTTGTCAGCCTGTGGCAGGGTTTCTGCCATAGTGAGAGGAGTAGCTGTCTTCTCTGGAGAAACCAGTGTAAACACAGTAACTGAGGCAGCACAGGCTCCTTCCACGGGCTGGATCAGCAGCAACACCCTTGCATCATTTCTAGAGGCTTTGCTGGATCCTGTTCCTAAAGCTTCCTAGGACTTGGTGAATAATGCAATACCCCATAATGGACACCTTTCTGGTTGGTACACTTTATATTTATACAAGCGGACAGTGACCATCCATAGCAAGCGCATCACTGAAGTTTCTTTTCTCCTGCTGGTTTTTCCCACTGGCTATGCAGAGGAGGTTACCATGAATAACCTTCCAGTACATCCAAAGTACAAGCCAAACCAGCACAGCGGGAGCACAGCATTCTTCAGTTCGCCTGTCTCACAGTACAAAAAAAGAGACTGGGAAATTTTCCTCAAATCATCCAGCTTTGCTTTTGTCAGCCTGGGTATACTCTCCACATGCACGCCTTGACCTGTACTCCATCAGACACTCCGGGAGACCTTCTGTAGACATCCCGGGTTCTCTCTTTGTGCAGCTCTCTCCTCTCTGTGTCTGTCTTCATAATTCTAGAAAGCAGCTCTTCCCCCTCAACTCAGTGCACCACCAGGCTCCTCCCAGGTCTCCTCTTCCAGTGCAATGCTCTGAACACTCTGCTCAGGTTCTAGGTGCAGTCATTTGAATCTCACCTCTGGTTTCCAAGTGTTGGATCATTGTTGTTTGTTTCCAATGTGCAATGTCTTGAAGATAATTGTTGCACAAATTGTGTTAACCAACCCAGGGAAAAGTGTAAATAAGATCCATGTAAATGTGTACAAGCCATATGTTGATTTTCTCCAAGCCCACATGTGAATTTAGATATTTAGCATTTCTTGTGTTTCTTGGACAGCAGATCCTGATTCTGGAGTCACAATCTGAACCTCGCTGCCTCTGCTTCACCTCTTGTTCTGTTTACACAACAAGGGGCCACTCAGTCACATGTACAAACACATCATCTCACACATCAAACCCCATTCTTTCTCCCAGCAACGTCCTTTGGTGATATGTTGTGCTGGGCTGTGAACACGTACTGCATAGCTGCTCTCAGGAGCAGGAACCTAGGGAAGAAGAGAGTAATGTAATAGAAGTTAGATTTAGAGATTTTGAACTTGAAATCTCAAGTGACAAGAATGGGAGGTTGAGAAAGAAATTAGCTCTGCATCAGGCCCAACTCTCTCCATGAATGAACGGAGGGGAGCCAAGTGAGGAGCCTGGCCTCTGGGGTGAGGAAAAAGAGATCCTGCATGTTGGGTGTCCGTGTGGTTCTGGGTGCTGTATTATCACTGTGCCACTCTGACACACCAGTGAAACAGAACAGGGGAGGCCCCAGGACAGGACATTCAGTTTTCACAGGATCCCCTTATGATTCAGCAGGTTACCAAGCACTACCTAAGTGTTATGGTTTATGTCTGTGTGTCCCCCGCAATGCCTCATGCGGACATGGGGCAGGCTATTAGAGTTGAATGATTGTGGGTGTGAGAGCTACACCCACCCTGGGGTGGATAGTTTGCATATGTAAGGGAGAGGAAGAAGCTGCTTGAGGCTATTCCTCCCCCATTCCACCCTGGTGTGGGCTTGTGGCTTAGCTGTGTGTTGCCGCCCTGAGATGCAGCCCTCTGCCACGTGCCACTCTTCCTTATAATCTGCCAAGTACGGATTGAAACTTCCATGAACTGTAAGCGAAATAAACCTTTCCTTCCTTAATTTTGGGCGTCAGGTATTTTGTCCCAGCAGAGAGAAAAAAGTAACCAAGACACTAAGTTTAGGCAGCCCTGGATTTATCCTTTGAATTGGCCAGGTCTCTTCAGTTCAGCCTGGCTCTGTTCTATATCCTTCCTTGTCCCCTTGACAGATTTTCTACCATTTAATTTGAATTTAATTTTTCTACCATTTAATATCTCTTAATTTCTATGTCAGTGCTATTAAAGATTAAATCCTGCTAATGCACATTTGCCATGAACTTCCAGAAGTGCTGCTGCGTTCTCACTGAATCCTCCTAGGTGCATGATTTTCATCTGTCCCTTGTCTAATGATGTTCAGTATGATTGCTGGTACAATAAGGGGTTTTCCAGGCTATGCCTGGCACCCTTACTCTTTTTCTATGTGAAGTGAATTAGAGGTCCTTTGACTCAACTTGACCCTCAGCATGCAGGTAGGCTCAGTCCCTGGACAAAGAGCTGTGACCTCTCTACCGCAGTGCCCAAACTGTCCCTGAGGGCACTTGGAGTGGAGAAGGGACCTGGCCCATGTCACCCTTGTACCTGAGGCCACTGATTGGGAGGCACATGATGAAATGCACTCTCTACCTGCCCTGGTGATCTCTCCAGGAATAGGCTTTAGGGTGTCACCAAAAATCATCAAAGAGTCTTTGCAGGGGTAGTGGACAGGGGGCGCTCTGCCTCAAACAGCAGTGTCTTGGTATTGGAGTTTGCATTTGGGTCATTTATTTAAAGGCAAGGGCTGTCTTATTCCAGAACTCATTTCAGCTTCTACTGTGAAGAAAATTCATGTCTTCCTGCAGACTAGGGCTCTACTTGGCTTCCTGCTTGCTAAATAGTTCAGAAGCCAAAAGAAAATAAGTTGTTGAGAAAGTAGCCAAAGCAGCACTCCTTGAAAAACAAAAGGGCAAAAACATCCTGAGGTATTAGCTCCCAATATATTCCCTGAACACAACTGTAATAGATCAATCATTATGGTTACAGCCCCTGTTGAAAAGTTGAGCAGTTCCTTCCTGCTGCTTGCTTGCAGGCCTTCCAGACTAGGAATAGGGAGAACCAGGAAGGAATTCACTCTTGCCTGAGACCCATTTGCCCTCTCTCTCGTGTTGGAGAGTGAAGAAGTGTGGCCAGAAGCCTTGCTTAGAATCTGGTCCCGGCAGTTCCTATCTGCAGCCTATTTCTCTTTGGTAATGCCAACCGGCATAAGAAATGCAATCTTGTCCAGAGAAGGAAGACTCTGAGCTGGCTCACAGGAAGGAATTTCAGTGCCTTACAGCTTCCCCTGCCTGAAAATGTGGTTTAACAGCTGTGGCTGCGAGGTTGTATGTGATGAACTGCAATGTTACCATATTCTCAAGACTTGTCTGCAGAGAGAGAGATAACTACTGCTGCCAGGGATCAATGGGACATGGACTGAAAGGCATCCAAGTGATGTATCTTCCCACGAAAATCAAAGTAACCTGTGAAGTAGGGAGTTTGAAGACTAAGAAGCTCCTGAGATTTCAGACGACTCTCAATATGACTTATAGTGTCATTGGGGCCCATTTTTCTCATGCATCTCTTCCTTGTATAGAAGAGCAAGTCAAAAACTTGGTGAGTGATCAGAAAATTGGTACTATAAAGTATTAGTTGGATTTATACCTCAGGAGTACAAAGACTATGCTGAATATATGATAAAGAAAAATATTGCTGAATGTTCCAGACTCAGGGAGGTGTTTTCATGTGATCT